GTTGCACAGTGGAAACGCCTAGACTGGGAGCCAGGTACACGTGAGCTCGGCGCCACTCTGCTGAGCTCGCAGTGACCGAGGGGCAGACGGAGTCCGGGCAGAGATGGAGCCTGGGCTTCCTTATCTCTTTTTTAAAAATTACATTTTAATTGGGGAGGAGGGGAGTGGGTCCGAGGGCTCGGAGAGAGCGCAGGCCACCGTGAACCAGTTCCGGGAAAAGGTTCAGGATGCGCGTGAAGAAGCCCGCAGACTTCTCAGGGACTTCCCTCCCTTTCCCTTCACACGCGACCGCATCCCGACTCCAAGCTTCGAGAACTTCTCAACACGAAGTGCACGGCCCCCCTCCTGGCGCCTCCCCTTTTATAGTCAGACTACAATCCCTAGTCCAAAAATACATCGGCCTGATAAGAGGCCAGGAAAAGCAAAGCTTAATAGTTTTATGCTTTCACTACTGAGTTATGGGACATTCGTTGGACAAATTTATCATCGCCTTTTCACAAATTCCCCTACAAATGAATAATTCCAGGATAGGCCCAAATGACTCTGGCCTCTTGACCCAACATGTTTTTGTAATTACTTGGCACTCCGACTGCATGGTACTTAAATTAGGGAGCAGTCACCAAGTTATTTTTAGGCTACAGCAACGCACACACATGAGCACACGCACACTCACGGCTGTGCCTAGCCTGTTATTTGTACTCCTTTGGAAAAGGAGCCCGAACTGCCTTTTTCACCAGCACCACCGGTCCTGTTCAACCAGCAGTCATCACAAGACCGAGCTGCATTTCTGAGTGCTCCCCATGCATGAAGGACTGTTTAGATACTCCGCACACATTACTTCTTTGTGTTCCTGAACCGACCCCATGAGACAGCTCCTGTTAGGTCCTCTTTTCATAAATGAGGAAACTAAGAAAATGAGGGATTATGTAATGTGTCCAGTGAGCGCTGGTGGGGGAGGGGGGACAACCGAGATGAGTACTCAGGCTGAATCCCAAGTCCACCATTCGCTGCAGGGCTAATGTTGGGCGTGCCTGGACGCCCAGCAGAGGTTCAGAATGACAACAGTTAAGTTTGTGAACACCGACACGTGCTCATAGCATCCCTGAGATACAAGAGGCAAACGTGTGCCTCCCACAAAACAAAGCAGAAAGAGAAGCAGTATTTTCACAGGGTCTCTGACTCCTGAGCGTAGCCGTTCATTTTGTGATCAGACTCAGTACTGCCTGTGTTCGCTTCACGGCCCTTGTTAAGTATGGAAGAAGGTGTCGTCTATGTTGCTCATCTCTCAGGAGTTAGGATGGGAAGTTTTATGGTATTGAAGGGCAGCTCCCTACATTATTCAACCTTCTCTACGTATCAGCCTCCTGAAGTGACTCTTTCTCCTCCCCCTGCTCCCAACAGACACCTCTGGTCCAGAGGCAGGACCACCAGGCTCAGCTGGGGGACAGCCCAGAGCAAGCAGGTGCACAGACCTGATACACCTGTGCAGAACGGGGGCTAGGGGCCCCAGCTGCCACCCGGAGCCTCCCACTTACAGGAAGGGCTGCTTCTCCGCAGGCCTGATGGCCCGGGAGTCCCAGCAGAACTCAGAGTTTGCAACAGTCTCAAAAACGCTCACGTGACACTGTTCATCCTGTCCTATGAAATCTCCCCAGCCTCATTCATTTTGAAACATCAAGTTTAAGCACAAAACATATTTAAACACATTAAAATATTGTCTGTAAAATTTTTCAACTGAAACAGGAAGATAGGGAAAACAGTAATAATTGTTGAATCTGGTGACTGGTATGTGGGTGCTCACTATACTCTCTCCTCCTTGTCTACATGTTGGAAAATTTTTATAATAAAACTTTTAAAGGCATAGACTGTCTTTAAGAAGGAGGTGGCAGGAGCTTATCCTTTCTTCCTCAGGGAAATGATACATGATTTCCCTGAACCCAACCGTGGGAGCCTTGTAAACATCATAGCAAAGGTGGTAGCTTTCCTTCCGGAAGGCCCGGCGTTGTCCAGCCTTCTCATTCAGTGTGGTGAGAAATCATATGAAGAATCGAGTTTCAATAAAACAAATTATAATGCCTTCAGAGATTTTGCCAGTCCCTACATATGCATTCATTTCTCCAGATTGGGTAGAAGCACAAGTCTGATGCCATTTCTGTCCTCGGAAGCTGAGACTGACCCATGGATTCAGACACAGGTCACAACGGGGAGGGGACTGTCAATTAGAGCAGTAACTTAATCTCAGGGGCTCCCGCACCTCTGGGCACCCTCCTCCCGACCTGACACAGCATTGCTAAAACGGTCCCTGAGCAGCCGCTCGGCTTGACAGGCAGCACCAAACATGGAGAGCGTGGCATTGAAACGGGGACATTCAACTTGGACAGGGAGGGTAGCAACCAGTGTTTACCAACACACACAAGGGCAGCAGGTGGGCCGGCCATAAATTACCCGAGATTATACTGAAATCTCTGAAAATAAATCAATGAGGCCTTCGAAGTTGCTACCTCAGCAGATTCTCACTACCCCCGCCACCATGTCCGCCTGACAAAAAGCACTCATTCCAAGATGGTACCACGACCACTCTTGTTAAAATAAAGTCTTACATCACCAGGGGTTGCGGTGAGTAATACACCTCAGCAGAGAAGCCAGACCAGGATGGTCACTTGCCCCACTCAAGAGCCCAGAAGAAGTTGCTGGCCGTGCCTTCTGAGGGGTGCCCACCCACTCCTCCCTTGATGGGGCTATGGCGTGACCTTTGGTTCGCCCAGGTGAAGAGGGCAGCTGGGGCATCCGGGTATCGCTCTCTCTTCTTTCCCATCATGGTCCCAGTTCTAGGCCGTTCCCCCCAGAGTCCAAAATTGGAACGACGATAACAATAAATAAAGTAGATTACAGACCCCTTTGCCCCGAAAATACATATTTTTAACCAAATTCTCAAAGAGTCGAAGAAAACCCCCCAAAGCTACAAATAATCCAACCTCTATGACCAGCGCGTCTTCCAGGCCGACCGCCGCCGTGTCTCGCCAACCCGAAAATGACGAGCCCTCCCAGTGGCCGCCCCGGGCGCCCAGCAGTGAGGTCAGCAGCACGTCCGGCCCCGCCCCACAGAGGCAACCTCACTCCCTGACACTGAGGAGCAAGCCCAGCTGCCTCCACAGGAAAGTGGGGAGGAACCCCACTTTGGTCAGTAGCAGCCAGGAGACTCATTTCTCAGTGACTGACAAGTCACCCCCATACACCACGGTGCCTGCTGTCAAGCTGAAGGTAAGATCTACAGCTCCTCCTAATCACCCATGGGTTCAAGTCCAGGGTCGTCTGAGACCATATATTGTTTGACGCCTACTCTCAGATCGCACAGGCACGAAAGGACTGCTTTTCCTCGACAGTGTCTACTCTGCATGAACAGGGAGAGAACAATTCAGACCATCGGCTACCCCCCTGTCTGTCTTCCAATACAAACTCTCACAAATGGAAACGTGTAGGTTGTCCTTTCTCATCCCAAAAAAGCCACGCCAAGCCAAGAGCATGGTAAGAAAACACTAGCTGGGTAGACTTACTAGGAATCAGTCAAAGTCAGCTGAAGAGCAATAAAATACAGAGCTACACGGAAGAAATCTGAACGTACCTATAAACGAAAGGAACCCCAGGAACAGCACCAAAATAATAACTGGACGCTGCTGGAACTCTCTGGGTACAACCTCCCTGAGGCCATTCTTCCCATCAGAACCCACCAGCCCTAAGGAAAGCTGTGCCTTTGTGGTAGTTGGGTCCAATGGGAGCAAGTTCAAGGGCAGTGGGGGGTGGGGCAGAGGGCTTAGAGAAAAGGAGTTCAGAACTATATTTCCAAGAATGCTACTTAACAAAAGGCAGATGCATCTTTGGGAAGACCAGAGGGAGAAGGCAGAGATGTTTTCATGAAGGCAAAACAACTCCCTTGCTCACCTCAATGCCTGCTGCAATTTAAGTACACTTTAAGATGCTCAGAGGAGGCCTTTGGTCCATGCAGTTCAGGAGAGCGGAGGTGATGTGGCCCAGGCTGTGCACCTTGGCTCAAACGAACAGAAGAGAAGAGAAGAGAGATGACTATCTCTCAGGACTACCACCGCTGGATGGAAGACACCAAAGAGGAAGAATGGGGGGTGGTACCCAAAGGGATGGTATCTGAGGGCAAGGGGGCAAAACCAGGGATGGACACAGGACAAGGGCTGCTCTACTAGGCTAGGGCAGGAAGGGGCGCAGAGGACAGTGGGTAATTTATCCCTCCTGCCAGGGCTCCAAGACCATGAGCTCAGAGTCACTCTGCATGGAGTGTCCTAAGGCAAGTGACCCCCCGCCCCACCTTGGGAGGGGCCATGATGCTGGCAGTCATCAGGTGCAGCCAGAGGGAACAGTGTATTGGGGACTGGGACAGAAGAATGACTCTGTCCCCTTAGAGCTGTGGCAGAGGAACGGATATACTGTGGGGCATTAGAATAAGGGTCGCTGTCCCTCTATCCTTCACTTTATAAGTCACATGAAATGCAAGCTGGTCAGAGGGGTGAGAAAGAGGAAGATTCTCCCACAACAAGGACGGGTACCTGCAAGTGTACCTGTAGCCCACCACGGTGGCTGCTTCCTCAGTTCCGTCACCCTGGGTTAAGCCTGAGCGACAACACCTTTCCAAGCAGTGATTGACTGAAAGAGGGCTACCAGCCGGGGCATGACCTGAGACACCATCTGGTGCTCTAACAGCCCCTTTTTTAAAACGACGAGAAAGGCCTCAGAGAGGTGAAATGACTTGCACCATGCAAATTAGAAGGTGAAGCAAGACCAGAACCCAAATCTTCTGCTGGGGTTTCTTTCTCTGAACGAAAATAACGAACGAGGGGCATGGGAAGACGGACAAGAAGAAGGCCGATTTTGGTCTTTTGTAGGTAGGGGTCAGGAGAGCGCTGGCGCTTCTAAGAGAAAACCTCGAGCGACCCCAGGCGAGGGGCAGGCGCGCGCTGGGGGAGGGGCGTTACCTTTCAACACCAGGGGCTCCTTGCCTTCCCTCTTCAGGGACTCGAGGACTATGTGCAGCGGCTGCGAAGGCATCACTCGGCTCGGCTCATTGGTATTCTCGTCATAAACTATAATTTCTTTGGAAAAGATCCTCTTGAAAGAGTCCTTGCCTTCCCTACAGGAAATCAAGTCTAAGACGGTGATTTTGCCCTGCTGCAGCCTCCGCCGGCTGATCTTGTCGGCGCAGTTGATGTGCACGGCTCCCTGGATGTGGCTCTTGTTGTACTCCATGAAGGGCCTGCAGTCGATGATGACGGGGCCCTGGCTCGGCAGGTGGCTCTTGCTGCACCTGGTCATCTTCTTTGCCAAGTCATTGGGGTAGATGATCTTGATGCTGGCCAGCTGCTTGGGGGTCCCCGGCACGGGGCTGCCCACCCCCGCTGATGGACTTAGGGAGCCTGCGTTCTCATTGTTGTTGACCATCTGGGTGGCGGGGCAGGGGCTCGAGGTTCCGATGGCAGTGGCGGCGGAGCCAGCGGCAATGGCTTGGGTGTGGGCCTGATTGTCCTTGTCGTAGGTTGCCACAGTGCAGCAGCTGGCACTGCTGCATCCACAATTGAGGGAGCGGGCAGAGCCGCTGGATGAGGGCATATACGTCAGATTCGCAGCCTTGAGGGACACGACGGCGGCGGCGATGACAGGAGGGTGGCTGCTACTGCCTGACACGGCAGAGCCAAGGTAGCTGGAGTCTAAGCGGAGGTTGAGATCCTGAGGCCGGACGGGCCTGGAGAGTGCCACTACTACCCTGTCGTCTAAAGGAGACGGAGGCATGAGGAGGCTGAGCGCTGGCAATTCGAGAAGAACTGAAGACAGTCTGCAAAGAAGGGGAGGGGGAGAGACAGGGTCGAGTCACGTGACACAGAAGGCAGTCTCGGCCAGTCCCTAGGAGAGGCCCCTGCATCCCGTCCCTCTGGGCAGAGTTGTCCTGCTGCCCTTTATCCCGCTGCCCTTGTGGCTTGAAACTCATTTTCCGGATTCCAAGAGGATGTCAACCCGAGGACCCTCATCTATTCCATCGCTATATCGAAAGTTAACAATGTATCTAGTCTGCGCATATGGTGATGAACCACCTTTCTCGGACCCACATGAGTTCAGCCTTGGAGAAGGTAAAAGCACAAAGAATGAGAAACTCCGAAGACAGAAAGGAAGGCTCTGAAGAAGGAACTATTCTGGGCCTCCTCTCCTGGGCAGGAGTAGAGGGCGACTATCTGAGAAAGACCCATTTGTCCACCCCTGCATACTTTCCATGTCACTCCTCACCCACCGCAAAGGCAAAGGAATGGCCGAGAGCAGGGGCATGGCGCGCAGAAATATACAGCAGCTAAATATACATCCGCACGGACATCAACTTTCTGCCCGTCAGAATGAAAGTATCCCCCTCAGTGAATCTCTTTAGCTGGGAGCTATTCTTGCTTTCCATCCGGCTGAGCCCTTTGAAAAGCACACACAGTCATACTAAAACCTCCCTCTTTCCTCTTAGCCTCTTATTAATTAATCTGCATTTCCCCCTTGCATTACAAACCGGTATTACCTGAAACGGAGCTTCAAGCCAAGGAGCCAGGTCTGGCGACCCCAACCCGGGGGGGACCTCTCAGCCCTCTCTCGCCGGCCCCCACCCCTGCCTTGAGGAGAAGGACCACGTTGACTCTCCTTTCTCCCTGTCCCCACAGGCACAGACTGTGGATCCCAGAGCCTCTCTCAACAGGAGGCAGGCGCCACGGTGGGTGATGTTTCAGCCCCACACAGATATCCCCCTGTTCGAGGGAATGAATTCCAGAAGGATGACTTCCCAGTTAGCCGGCCCCTGTTAAAGCAGGCCGAGAAGTATTGCCCTCCGGGTCTACCTCCTGTCTCGAGAGGGCGCCTGTCAAGAAAGGGACAGTTCCTTCCTCCCTGTAGGCACAGGGGCACCTTACGACGGGGCCCTGCTGGCTCCCCTCCTCCGGCTGGCCGTGCACACTGCCAAGAGACCGAACCCCATGCAAGAGTCACTCACCCACACGAACTTCAGGAGATGTCTGGGAAAATGTCATCTACCATCCGTCTACACCCGGCCGTCACCATTTTCTGACACAGAGCCCAAGTGTCACAGGCAGAATCCACACACGCGCGCGCACACACACGGGCACGCACCCTTCACATCTGCAGGTCCCCACGGCTCAGGTTTCTCTCACCCACCTCTGGATGCGAGCGAAGGGTCCAACGCCTCCCCTCCCGCCCTGCCTCGCCGCCTTCTCCTCTCCCTTGCGTAGTATTTTTTTGAAGAGCAAGTACTATTCCAGAAGCTATAACTGTTTCCCAGCTGGAGCAAGCGGAGGGGAAAGTCTTTTCTATTGTGTTTCCTAGTAAGGCGCGTCCCAGAATCGACAGTCCGCTTCCTCGAAGAGGAACGCAGGAGCGTGTTCACGGGGACACAGCCTGGGACCCCCGCCTCCCCACGGCGAGGGCGGCTCACACAAGCACGGGGTGTATAAAGAGACCTGCATCCCTGCAGCAGACAGAGGGTCGGGCGTGTATATCGCCCGGGAAACCTCCCCGAGAGGCCGGAGAGAAAATTAAGTGGCGAGAGAACGCTCCTTCCCCACTCCCGGGGCACCTAACACCCCCCTTCGCAACACAGCGCACTAACAAGCCCCAGGCATTTAAAACTGCCGCAAAGCATCCCGACAAACCTCATTTTGTTCTTCGCCCAAATCCAAACGGACTGCAGAGAGAGCAAACGCACAGGGCGGCGTGAGCCAACAGCCGGAACCCTATTAACCTCACCTGCTGTGCTGCCCCGTGCGCACCGCAACACACACACACGCACACACACACACGCATTCACACTCACACTCACGCCGCCTAACACTCCTGGGCTCTAGGAGTAGCCGCGGTGACTTCCACTTACTTCATAAATAAGTGTAGCCCTCCACCATCTGGCGCTCCGCTTCAGTGTGGATTCGCACATCCAGCCCCCATTCACTTGGCTTCATTGATCTCCAGCAACAACATAGTTACTTTCTCTTTTGCTAGACTGTAAATGTAAGGTTCTGGGGGGGCGGGCCGGCTGCCGACCGACGGCGCGTGGGACCAATAGGAATCCGGAAAGAACTGACCGTTACCTCACAGCAGCCCGCGGCCAATGGGCGGCCTGGGGGAGGAGCTAGGGGGCGTGGCCTTGTCTCTTTAAGGAGGGTAGCTCCTACGCCGCTTCGGATCCACGGTGTTAGAACACGGGCGGTGATGTCATTGGCAACCAATCAAAAACTTAAAAAGGGCCAGCCGGGGCCCGCGCGGAGCAGCTGCTCTTTATTTACATGTAAACCGAACCAGCAGGATGCAATTAACCCTTTCCGGGGCTGAATTGTCAATTGGCTGGACTGGCCGCTCCGGCTGCAACTGGCTCTGCCCACTTGACGGGATCCTACGGAACCCCGTCACGCGGGACAGGCCACGCTGTCTCTTTTGTATTCCTTCTTACTCAGGGCGGAGGATCAAAAGTGTCGGAGTAACTTTCTAAAAGCAAGAGACAGCGAGAACTGTCACTGTCCCCAGTGGGAAAACGGGGCTCTTCGAGTGGCTCGAGGTGACTGGACAAGCCCGAACCTAAGATCCACGGACGTCGCCGAGCCGCGGGCGCTGGGACGATCGCGAGCGCACAGCCAGGGGCATCGTTTCTGTTCCGGCCCGCGTCCCGGGCCGTTGGTTGGGGGCTTGGGCTCGGACGCCGCTGACCAGTGGGCCGGCCGCCCCTAGGCAGTGAGGCCGGGCCAGCTCGCCGCGGCCCGAGTCCAGGGGGCCGCCCCGCTGGGCCTCGCGCCGCAGGGAAGCGTCGGCCGCCCGCCCGCAGATGTCGCTGCCCCTCTGGCTTCCCTACAGCTACCCCGCGCGGCGGTGGCGCGGCGCCTTCTGGCTCGCGGTTATCTGAGCCCCGGTCATGCCCCCGCCTCCTCCGCTTACTTGCCAGGGCTCCAGCCGGAGCACCAGGGCGGCGGCGCGGAGGGCTGCTCGGAGGTGGCTGCCTGGGCTCGGGCCGGAAGCTACAGGAGGCGCACCCCGAGCGGTTGCAAGGACGCCCCCAGCCTAGGCCGGGCGTCCGAGAGCTCCTGGTACGCCCGCCACGCCCCTCGGCGCCGGCACCAACCCCTTCTCCCGCCCGGCGCGCAGGGTGCCCGCGCTGCACCCTCCTTCCCAGCGAGCCTGGGCAGTCGCCCGCCACTCCGCAGGGCCCCTGGCAAGCCGAGGACTGCCAGGCCCGAGCTTCTGCAGCAGTCGCGCTGGCGGAAAGCAGCCTGCACTCGGTGTAAACCACCAGAGTTGCGAACCCGAGGGGTCGCTGGCCAAGGCGCGCGTCTGGAGGAGTGGGGCCTGCCAGCAACGCGTCTGGAAAATCTCAGGGAAACTGAGGGAAAATTGTCTTGCGGTAGGAGCAGGAGTGGAGAGGCGGAGACGGGCTGCAGACTGTCTGCATCAAAGAATCCTGAAGAAGTAGAGCTGTTTCCTTCATCCCTCTCCTGGCTGGGAGAGGCGGAGGTGAAGGAGTGAAATGATTATGGTGCAGTAAGACACTGTGAGCATGAGAGAATATTTGGCTACGATTTTTCTCTCACCAGCCCGAAGGTGTTTGGAGACATACTTCAGGCTCCGGGCCTTGATAAGTCAGCTAAGTGGTAGCGACATATGCATGTAATTGCTTGAAGTGCAGATCTGAAACCAGAAGATGCCAGACCGTGGCCTGCTGGCCAGCTCTGCTCAGTGTGCTGTTCAGAGAAACCCCCCTGGGTATCTGGGGCGGGAGGGGGATGCATAGGCATATACCCACAGTCTAGCTCCCACGCCAGCGTTTCAGATGGAAGTAAGCGCATTCGATCATCTTAAACTGGAAAGGAGTCTTGTAGCCCCTGACTCCACTCACACACCAACACACGCACGATGGTTGGGGCACACCAGTTGGTTCTCACACCCTTGGGGATCAACAGGTCCCGGCCAGGAACGTTGGGTGCGGGGCACTTTCCATAGAAATCAGGAAAGAACTTCCCAGAGGGTCTACCCTGGCGCTCCAATAGCTAAGGAGTCTCTCACCGGAGATAATTACCAGGAAGAAAACAGTTCCCTAACTGGGAGGCTGGAGAGCTCTGGGGGTCAGTCCTGATTTTGACTCTCACGGGTTGTGTCTGTTCATCTAGAGTCACTGTGTTCACTCCTGCATCTGTGAAATGGGAATACCCTGATTAAGAAAAAAAAAGGCAAAAATTCGGGTGCAAATGCTCAGGGGAAAAAAAGGGTTACTGCTAAAAGGTATTCAGGAGAAAAGCACATCCTTGCTTCAAGAAATGGGGTGCTCTGTGTAAGGGTACTTATGAGCTACAAACTATAAATCCATTGCTAACACCTCGAAGTAGAAGCCCGGATAAGGTAGGGGCTTAAAACAATTGCAGGAGAGTTCTTAGCAGCTTTTCCTCTAGGCCCAGAAAGGGAAAGTAACTTCAAAAAGAAATGTAATGCATTGAATGACATGATGATTTTATTATAGTTTCAAACTAGTGATTATAATGTAGTTGACTAAAAATGGAAGCCATCCAGGCTGAACAGTGGGGACATGATGGCAACATTTCTCATTATTTGTCAAACCTGAAACATGGAATAAATATGTCATTAACATATACAATGATGTAATTATTGTTTTAATTAGGCATCTCAAAGTGTATAGTTTATATTCAAATTATAAAGTGGTAAAAAATCAGATTAGAGATACATATCTTCCCAGCTGCTACTCTTCTAAGCTTCTTTCCTACAAAAAGAGAGGTGCTGTGCCTGTTTTTCGAGTCATAAATGTCATGAAAACGCTATCTGAAATAGTGCCCTTAGATTTAAACTTGGAATATCAGCCAGCCAATGGCTATGAACCTGAACTGTAAACAAATGGCCAGCAGAGCCTTTATGTTCAATTTTAGTCCCAAAGAAACAGCAAAGCATCTCCGTTGTATTTTAGTGTTCTAACATTATGTTCAGCCATTTCTTTGTCCCTACAAACAAGCATCATAAAAAAATATGGTTTCTTTCAGTGCAAAGTACTGTGAGTTATATCCAAAAGATGAAGATAACTTAGGCCGACATAGAAGATATGATATGGGTCACGTGGAACAAGCGTATTCATTAAGCGACATTGTACTGAAGTGATTACATATGGGGAGGATGGCAGAAGGTAGGGGCTGGGTGAGAATTAGGCTTTCCAAATCATCTTCAAGGTCAAGGTGGATCCCTGGAGATTCTAGAATTAAGGCAGAGGGAGGCTTAGAGAAAAGTTGGAAATAATACATCCCAGAATAAAGGTGATATTAAATCATCGACAAATGAGGCATGGAAAAGCCAAGTGACAAAAGCAGTTGAGGTCACTGAGGCCAACCTGGTAAAGCATCCCGTGACACTCTCCAGGCCTAGAGAAGGACCGATAAGCAGTCTCCCCACTCCCCCTCACCCCCACAAGAGGTGGCCACTGCAGTGTTTGGTGGGGTGATGGAAATAGCAGTGGGCCCGTCTGCTTTCTCAGTATCCATGAGTGTGGACACAGGAGGACACAGGTCTTGCCCTTTGAACTCGTGGGTTGGGTGCCCCTATAGCCCAGGGAGAGGCTCAGAGCCACTAAAGGTTCCATATTTGTGTTTGCCAGTGTGGCAGCCCCTGGCCACATGTCACTACTGAACACCTGAAATGTGGCGAAGATGAGCTGCGATGTGCCCTGAGTTTAAAATGTACGCTGGATTCTGAAAACATAGGAAAATGTAAATCATCTCCATCATTTTTGTGGCAGTCGCATGTCACATTGTTTGGATATGCCAGTGTGAATAAAGTGTTAATGAAACGAATTTTACCAGTTTGTTTCTACTTTTTAGAATATGGCTAGTATGCAGTTTGAAATGACTTGTGCAGTTTACATGTTTTTATTGGCAAGGCTGTTCTAGAACCCATAATTGCACCTTTGATTTGAGGTCATGCTGGTGCCAAAGGCAACAGAACCACAGAACGACGACGCGCCTGGAAGGGACTTCGGAGCTTATCTAGGCCAGTGGCTCTTAAATTGTGTTAGGCTGCGCCGGAGGGAGCAGGGGCACTGGTGCACGTGACCGACGTGGGAGCAGCCAGGAGCTGGTGCAGCTCTGAGACCTCACTCCCACCCCACCCTTGCACACTTGGTGGGTGGGTTGTTTGTTTGTTTGTTTGTTTGTTTAATTCCTGAGCTCCAAAGTAACATATCACTTGAAGAAAGGATTCTGGTTGGTTTCTTGTTCTATTTTCTTTTGTTTTTTTAATCCTGGCCCGTCATTTTTTTTCCCCTTTACAATGTGAAGAAATTGAGACAGTGTGAGGCCGAGATAATGGAGGTGGCATGGGCGAAGCTAGGCTTGACCTCCGACCTCCTGTCAAAGTCCAGCGTGGCCACTGCTGGACGTGGGACAGGAGGTGACTGATTGGCCGGGGGAATTGGTAAAGTCCCTGTCGCAGCTGACGCTAGCACTTTCCCTTTCCAAGCACTTATGTTTCCTCCCCGCCAAGGCCTACTTGCTCCTTGTCAAAAGAGAGTGCTGGCTGGGCCCACGTGTGTGCATCGTTGACGCCAACGCATTTCCTCCGTGAAAATAACACAGAAAAAGCTCAGTGCTGGCCACAGGTCTCCAGCGTGCCTTGCTCTGAGAGGGACGGCCTATTATGATTATGTGTTGCGACATCAAAGGCAACATCTTCCTGCTGGCCAGGCTGAGCAATCATTTTCTCATTAGGAAATGCAGTCCGACCCATGGCCCCTGTGTCTGACGGCGTTGCAGAGGGATGTTCTGGGATGGCCACCCCCGCTCAGGCCCTACAGAATCCGTCGGACCTTCTCAGCATTTCTGCCTAGGTGCACGCTGAACGGCCTCTGGATATAATAACGAGATCCTTCGGCTCACCAAGTGGGCTGTAATCTTCCTGGCTTATCTCTACCATTAAACATTGAACGGATTCTAAATATCTAGCATTTGGAAAGATTTTTAACAGGTAACACTGCTGAGTGTTTTGCTCTGTGCCAAGTGCTGTTATAAGTGGTCTACGCGCATTCACTCGTATAAATCCTCAGGTTCATGTCGAAGCTATGAGGAGGTACTCTCGTTAGCCTTGAAAGATGGGGAAACACATACAGAGAGGTTAAGTAATCTGCCCAAGGACACACAGCTAGAAAGCAGCAGAGGTGACATTTGAACCCAGACAGTCTGACGCCAGAGCAGCTGCTTGTGCCCAGGATGTTATTCATTCTCTTTCTGGATTTTATCAACTCCTATCCCACCCCCCGCAGCCTCCAGACTGCCAGGATACTTTTGATGGCCTCTTCAGAAGCATTCGCAGTTTTTCCTCTGCTGTCTCCCGAATGTCTCGGAATCCATTACATCCTCACCTGGTCTCACTCTCACGACTGCATTCCCCTCCCGTTTGGCATTTGCTAAAACCTCTCCGTTGTTTCCAGAATCCTCCCAATTAGTGGTCTCCACTTCATCGGTGTTTCGATGGCTGCTGCCAGCTGGACTGGCGGATTCAAGGAAGAGCCTGTCACACATCTGCCGCCCAGATCTCGTCTTGTTTGCCGCCCCACCCCCGCACCTGGCACAGGAGCTAGCCAGTGGGCAGGGGGAGCTCAGTGGGTTTCTGTTGAATCAGTGAATGAATGAATGAATGATCGAATGATCAATGAATCAATGAATCAAACAATTGACAGCATTTTTACAACACAC